TAAAATGGCAGTATTAAGTCCTCATATATCAGTAATCATCATAAATGTAAATAGATTGAATTCACCAATCAAAAGACACAGAGTGGCTGGATGGATTAAAAAACAAGACCCAACAGTATGCTGCCTCCAGGAGACCCATCTCAATGCTAAAGACAAACATAGGCTCAAAGTGAAGGGGTGCAAGATGATACTCCAAGCAAATGACAACCAAAAGAAAGCAGGTATAGCCATACTTATATCAGAAAAAATAGACTTCAAGCCAAAAAAAGATAACAAGAGACAAAGACATTAGATGGACATTATATAATGATATAAAGGGGACAATCGATCAAGAAGACATTAACATTTATTAATATAAATGCACCCAACATAGGAGGACCAAAATATATAAAGGAATTATTAACAGACCTAAAGGGAGAAATTGACAGCAGCACAGCAATAGTAGGGGACTTTAATACTCCACTTACATCAATAGATAGACCATCCAGACAAAAAAGTCAGCAAGGAAACATGGGCCTTAAATGAAACATTTGACCATATGGACTTAACAGATAAATATAGAACATTCCATCCAAAAGCAGTAGAACAGAAATTCTTCTCAATGGTACATGGAACATTCTCAAAAATAGACCATATGTTGGGAAACAAAACAAGTCTCAATAAATTCAAGAAGATTGAAATCATATCAAGCATCTTTTCTGACCACAGTGGTATGAAACTAGAAATCAACTACAAGAAGAAAGCTGGGAAAGTCACAGATATGTGGACACTAAACAACATGCTACCGAACAACTATTGGATTAATGGAGAAATCAGAAAATACCTGGAGACAAGTGAAAATGACGACACAACATTCAAAAGTCTATGGAATGCAGCAAAAGCTGTAGTAGAAGGGAGGTTTATAGCAATACAGGCCTACCTCAAGAAACAAGAAAAATCTCAAACAATCTAACACTATACCTAAAAGAACTAGAAAAAGAAGAATAAACAAAGCCCAAAGTCGGTAGAAGGAAAGAAATAATAAAAATCAGAGCAGAAATAAATGAAATAGAGACTAAAAGGACAATAGAAAGGATCAATGAAACTAAGAGCTGGTTCTTTGAAAAGATAAACAAAATTGGCAAACCTTTAGCTTGACTCACTAAGAAAAAAGAGAGAAGGCTCAAATAAAATCAGAAACAAAAGAGGAGAAATCACAATAGATACCACAGAAATACAAAGGATTATAAGAGAATACTATGAAAAGCTTACACAGCAAAAATTGGATAACCTAGAAGAAATGGATAAATTCTTAGAATCATACAACCGTTCAAAATGAATCAAGAAGAAATGGAGAATCTGAATAGACTGATCATTAGTAAGAGGATTGAAACAGTAATCAAAAACTTCACAAAAAACAAAAGTCCAGGACCAGACAGCTTCTCTGGTGAATTCTACCAAACATTCAAAGAAGATTTAATACCTATCCTTCTTAAACTCTTCCAAAAAATTGAAGCGGAGAGGACACTTTCTAACTCATTTTATGAGGCCAACATACCCTGATACCAAAACCAGACAAGGACAACAGAAAAAAAGAAAATTACAGGACAATATCACTGATGAACATAGATGCAAAAATCCTCAACCAAATATTAGCAAACTGAGTGCAATAATACATTAAAAGGATCATGCACCACAATGAAGGGGATTTATTTCAGGCATGCAAGGATTGTTCAACATCTGCAAATGAATCAACATGATATACCACATTAACAAAATGAATAAAAATCACAAGATCATCTCTCAAAAGATGCGGAGAAAGCATTTGACAAGATTCTGCATTCATTTGTAATAAAAACTCTCAATAAAATTGGTATAGAAAGAAATTATCTCAACATAATAAAGGCCATATATGACAAACCCACAGCTAATATCACATTCAATGGTAAAAAACTGAAAGCTATCCTTCTAAGAACAAGAACAAGACAAGGATGCCTACTGTCACCACTCTTATTCAACATAGTATTGGAAATCCCTGCTAGAGCAGTTAAGCAAGAAGAATAAATTAAAGGCATTCAAATTGGAAAGGAAGAAGTAAAACAGTGACTATTTGTGGATGACATGGAAAACCCTAAAGAATCCACCAAAAAACTATTGGAAATAATAAATGAATACAGTAAAGTTGCAGGGTACAAAATCAACATACAAAACTCAGTTGTGTTTCTATACACTAACAACGAACTAGCAGAAAGAGAAGTCAAGAAAACAGTCCCATTTACAATTGCAACAAAAAGAAAAAAATACCTAGGAATAAATTTAACCAAGGAGGTGAAAGCCCTTTTCACTGAAAACTATAAGACATTGTTGAAAGAAATTGAAGAAGTCACAAAGAAATGGAAAGATATTCCTTGCTCATGGATTGGAAGAAGTAACATAGTTAAAATGTCCATATTACCTAAAGCAATCTATAGATTCATTGCAATCCCTGTCAAAATTCCAATGACATTTTTCATAGAAACAGGACAAAGAAACCTAAAATTTATATGGGACAACAAAAAAAACCCAAATACCAAAAACAATCCTAAGAAAAAAGAACAAAGCTGGAGTTATCACACTCCTTGATTTCAAAGTATACTACGAAGCTATAGTAATCAAAACAGCATGATACTGGCAGAAAAACAGATAACACAGATCAATGGAACAGAATTGAGAGCCCAGAAATAAACCTACACATTTATGGACAGCTGATTTTCAACAGAGGAGCCAAGAACATACAATCGAGAAAGGAAAGTCTCTTCAATACATGGTGTTAGGAAAACTGGGCAGCCACATGCAAAAGAATGAAAGTAGACCACTATATTACACCATACACAAAATTTAACTCAAAGCTGATTAAAGACTTGAATGTAAGACCTGAAACCATAAAACTCCTAGGAGAAAACATGGGCAGTACGTTTTTTGACATCAGTCTTCACAATATCTTTTTGGATATGTCTCCTCAGGCAAGAGAAACAAAAGAAAAAATAAACAAATGAGACTACATCAAACTAAAAAGCTTCTGCACAGCAAAGGAAACCATCAACAAAACAAAAAGACAACCTACCAATTGGGAGAAGTTATTTGCAAATCATACATACAATAAGGATCTAAGATCCAAGAGGTACAGAGAACTCAGGGATTTCTCAACAACAAAACAACAACAAAAAATCAACCTGATTAAAACAGAGACAGAGAATCTGAACAGTTTTCCAAAGAAGATAATGCACTTGGCCAATAGGCACATGAAAAGATTGTCAACATCACTAACCATTAGGGAAATGCAAAGCAAAACCACAATGAGATATCATTTCACACCTGTCAGAATGGCTATTATTAAAAAGACAAGCAATAACAAGTGTTGGAGAGGATGTGAAGAAAAGGGAACCCTTATACACTATTGGTAGGAATGTAAATTGGTGCAGCCACTGTGGAAAACAGTATGGATATTCCTCAAAAAATTAAGAAGAGAACTACCATGGGATCCAGCTATTCCACTTCTGGGTATTTATCCAAAGAATACTCTTTTTTTTATGTTTCATGACCAGAGGTAACTGAAACCATGGAAAGAAAAACCATGGCAAGGGAGGACTACTGTGTATGTTAAAGGTACATTTCAGCTGCCTGGTTGCTGAAGCTTTAAAAATTGCTACCACTACAGTGAAAATAAAAGTTTATGAGGGGGCCGGCCCGGTGACTTAGTGGTTAAGTGCACGCACTCCGCTACTGGCAGCCCAGGTCCGGATCCCAGGTGCACGCCGACGCACCGCTTCTCCGGCTATGCTGAGGCGGCGTCCCACATACAGCAACTAGAAGGATGTGCAACTATGACATACAACTATCTACTGGGGCTTTGGGGAAGAAAAAAGGAGGAGGATTGGCAATAGATGTTAGCTCAGAGCCAGTCTTCCTCAGCAAAAAGAGGAGGATTAGCACGGATGTTAGCTCAGGGCTGATCTCCCTCGCAGAAAAAAAAAAAAGTTTATGAGGTAGAGCAACAGTACATTCAGCTTTGCTGCTAGAGAGTCTTCAAGTTTTAATATTTTTATTTTGTTTTGAAGTGTCTTAGTTTGTTCCGGCTGCTATAGAGTGGGTGGCTTAAGCAACAAGTACTTATTTCTCATAGTTCTGGAGGCTGGCAAGTCCAAGATCAAAGTGCTTGCAGTGAGAGAGCTCTCCAGGGTCTGTTTTATAAGAGCACCAATCCCATTAATGAAGGCTCCACCTTCATGTCCTAACTTCCCAAAGGCCCCACCTCCTAATACTATTACATTGGGGTTTAGGATTTCAACATACAGATTTTGGGGGGACACAAACATTCAGTTCATAATGTGGAGTAATGCTGCATTTTGAGAACTATGTCACCAGAAAATATTTTGCTTTACTTTTTTATAAAAACTTGCTGTACATATTAAACTTCATATGGATTCAGGGTCAATGATTTTGTTTTTCTGGCTGTATATGAGGTTTTATAATAAAAGTTAGGGGGAAGTTAAGAGTCAGTTAACCTGTTTTTCCAGTAGGCTACTAGAATACATTTATTCAGGTAAGGGAGGTATAATTGTAGAGTCAATTTTGTTATTCTTATCCTACCTCAGTGCCTAAGGGGAAGCATATTCCTGGGAAGCAAGACAGTTGAAGTAGTTGATGAAAATAATAAATTCATTTCTGGCTAGCTCTTGATGAGAGCTGCAGAGAGAGCTTTTTTAAGCTGCAGCAATGACTGACTTTAAAAAAAAAAAGATACAGAAATACATTGGGCACTGACTTGAGCAAAACTATGTGTGAAAAGCTTAAAATAATAATAACTACTGTTTTCATGAAAACCCTGTGCTTTAAGATGCACTTAAGGACTTTCAATTTTTTTCATGTCAGCATTCTTAACTCACATTTATGTTTTGTTTTTCAGTGAGAAGAAGTGAGATATATTTTAAATAAGATGACTCTCAGACAGATGATAGCTTTGACTTTGTGTTTTTTTGTAGCTGCTAGGTGAACTGATCCTGGACCGACACAACTTCACCATTATGACAAAGTACATCAGCAAGCCGGAGAACCTCAAGCTGATGATGAACCTCCTTCGAGATAAAAGTGCCAACATTCAGTTTGAAGCTTTCCATGTCTTTAAGGTAAAGTGCAAGCTACAGAAACTGGGTGGACATTTGTTTTCCAGTTTCAAGTGGCAAACTCCCTAGTTTTTACTCTCCTTTGTACTTGAGAGAAAATTAAATAGACAGTCTTTCTGTTTTGCATGACTTGGATGAAATTTTAGAGTTATTTTAATGAATGCCCATTTGTTTCTCAACAGGTTGCTAACTAATTCATATCTCTAAATATTTTCATTTTCTTCACTGAGAAAATAGTGGATATTGTTTCCCAAAAGTTACTAAAATAATCAGTGATTGACCTAGAACCCAAACCCTGAGGGTCAGAATTTGAATGCTTTGCTTTCTGCCTTAAGTGTTTCTTTGAATCTTAAATGAAGCACTGAAGAAACACTTGGGTACTACTCACTTTTACTACTTGTTTAGAAATATTTTTTAAATGCATTTTGTTGTGAAAGCCCCTATAATGCCTACTTTTTCTTTCTAATATTTTTTCTTTGATATGAGTAATAAAATAGCCCCCTAAAAACTTCAGATAATAGATTTTTTTAAAAGTAGGGTAGGTGGGAGAAATCTAATCTGTAATCCCATACTCCTAAGCTAACTATCGTAACGATTTTAGTAAATTTTATTTTCCTGTGCACATATTTGAAGTTTTTTTCTGCAGCTGTATTCACATTGTACACAAAATTGATGTCCTCATTTTATCACTTAATGCTGTACCATAAGTGAGCACTAATTCACTGTGGTCATATATAGTTTTTAGAGCTCTAGTTTTATTGGCATCGTAGTTTATCATTGAGTATATTTACTCTAGTTTACTTAAATATTCTGTCATTTATATTTAGGTTATTTCCAGTTTTTCCTACTGTAAGTAATGCTGCAATGAGCATTTTATATATCCAGCTAGTTTTTTCCATATTTAGGATTATTTTCTTAGGCTACGTGGTGTAGAGTAGAATTAAAGGTTCACAGAGTTTCAGGGTTTTTTTGGCCTTTATAACGTATATTTGATGATTGAATTTATAAGTCTATAAATGGGAGACATGGCAGTTTATAAGGTATGTAATTAGTGCTTTGAGAAGTAAAAATAATTTTAGTCCATCTGTCAGTCACCAGATCTTTGTTGTCCAAAAAGCTACTAGAGCAATTCAAATCACAAATTATAGGATTTATGGTAAATGAAGATAGTGTTGTATTGGCACAGAAATAGATAAATAGAACAATAAAACATAGTACAGGGCCCAGAAATAAACCTGTGCAAATATGAAACTTGACATTGATAGTGGAGGGATTACAAATCAGTGAAGAAAGGGTTAACTATTCAGTAAATAGTTCTAGGCTAATGAATTATCCATATAGAAAACCCTACCCTCCACTATACTCAGAAATAAATTCTAGGTAAAGATCTATACTTGAAAAGCAAAATTTTTTAACTTTTAGAAGGAAAAATAGGAGGCTGTCACTGTGATGTTGGGTGGGAAGAATTCCTTTATAAAGAAAATCATAAACATAATAGAAATATTAATGTTTGACCACATTAAAATTTTAACATTGCTTCTCAAAAAGACATCATAAGCAAAGTGAAAAGACAAGATAGAATGTGACACATATAACCTACAAATCTTTAAGAAAAGACAAACAGTTCAATAGAAAAATGGGCAAAGGATACAAGTTGGTAATTTACAGATGAGGAAACCTGATTGGCCAATAAATAGGTGAAGATGCTCATCTTAGTAGTAATCTTGGAAATGGCCACTAAAATATCAATGAGGTATCACTTTACATTCTTCATATTGCCAAAAATGTTTAAGTCTGACAATATCAAATTTTGGTGAGGTTGGAGGACAGTGGACTCTATCACACACTGTAAATTGGTACAACTACTTTGGAGAGCAATTTAGCAAAATAAAGAATTGAAAGTGTGCATACCCTTCAATCCTGCAGTCTTATTTCTTGGCAATTTCCTAGAGACACTCTTGCACATGTGCATAAGGAATTATGTACAAAAATGTTTATTTCAACATTGTTTAGAATGGTGTTAAATGATAAAAAAACATAAATGGGCATCAAAAGGAAACTGGGGAAATAAATTGTGATATATTCATACAATAGCATATAGAAATGGGTTAAAACTAGTAGAGTTATGTGGATCAGTTTGGATAAATCTCAGAAACATTGAGTGGGATAAGCAGACATTAAAAGGATATTATTTATTTAAAGTTTGAAAACATGAAAAACAACACTATGTATGAATTCATACATATGTGGTTATAGTCTAAAAACCTGCATGGGAATGATAAATACCAAATTCCGGATAGTGGTCACCTCAGGGGAGGGGTAGGGAAGAGAGTGGTATCATGAAGAAGTAACCAACAGCCTTTAATTATATGTGTAATGTTTGATTTTGTTAAAAAATCTGAAGGCAAGTTTGGTAAAAAAAGATTTTGATAGAGCTGATGAGAACATGATGTCAGGTATGTTATTTCTGTACTCTTCTCTGTATTGGAATTATTTCATAAGCAATAAACACAAATTGGATGAAACAAAAATAAACTGCTGTAAGACTGGAAAATGCCTATGCAGTATAAAGTGATAGACCCTCTCAAGACTGTTCTGACTGAAGACATTGTAGAATGCTATGTGTCATGACATTCAGCTCCCATAGAATTTTAGTGTATCATCCCAGATGAGAACAAGCTTCATATAATTTTGTTCAAAAATACATTATTATAGGGGCTGGCTCTGTGGCATAGTGGTTAAAGTTCGGCGTGCTCCTCTTCAGCTGCCTGGGTTTGCAGGTTCGGATCCCAGGTGTGGACCTACACCACTCATTAGCTGTGCTGTTGCAGTGACCAACATACAAAATAGAGGAAGATTGGCACAGATGTTAGCTCAGGGCTAATCTTCCTCAAGCAAAAAAAAAAAAGAGAGAAAGATTGGCAACAGATGTTAGCTCAGGGTGAATCTTCCTCAGGAAAAAAAAGTATATAGTATTATAAAAGTATTCAGTGAGTGACAAAATAGAAATAACCTACCTCCAACCTCTGAAAAGATCAGAATTTGGATCATCTAATCATTGGACAGAGGTAGATGATTTAAAAAGAGTTGACCACTTGTTTACTTGTATGTGTATAAACAGGCCTACCCTGTACCCTAACTATGTTCCTTCCACTGAAGTATGAACTGAATTGTTTACTTGCCAAAAATAATATTTTGTTATTTAGAAAAAGTAATAGCTGAGTCCTAGAATTTTTTCACAGTTCTTTATTAATAATTTGTTTCCCCAAAGCACCTTCCACAAGGTGCAGAAAATGTGGAACACATTACTAAAAATGTCTTTGCCAGATTATTAGTGGCTTATTTTTGTTAGCTTGCTGATAAGTTCAAGGACTCCAATGAAATGCCATTTCACATTTTTCTGCTATTGTATCAACGAGCAGGATGGTGTGGTGGAAAAGCAGTAGATGAAAGTCAAGAGACCTGGGTCTTTCTTCTGGCTCAGTTACCAGCAGTGACTTTGAGCAAATCCGTCTGGATCCATTTCCTCACTTGCAAAATGAAAGAGTTGAATTAAGTCTAAAGTCTAGTCCTAAGATACTAGGGTCAGGAGACCTTTGTCTCTGTGACCCTAGCTCTCGCAGAGATGTGTCCAGCATGAATGTAGGAGTCAGCTATGAGCTGATCTTCTCCCTTTCCTTTCCCCGTTAACCTTAATAGCAAAGGACCATGTTGCCGCTTCCCCCCAAACTGTGTAGGGGATCGGGGTGGTCTGTGCCTTTTGGCTCACCTCTCAGAGCTGCTGGAACTTGGGCATGGCCACTGCCAAAAATGGTCCTGAGTATACTACTCTATCACTCAGATCCTAGCAATTGGCCGCAATAGCCATTTCCATGAAAACAAGAAACTGCACCTGAACTGCACCTGAGCTTATTCCAAAATACAAAGGCCAGCTTGACAATTCACCTAAAAAAGTATACAGAACAAGAAAGATCCTAGATGAGAATAGTTTCAGTGTGGTCTTGGTGAAAAGAATGCAGAATTACAGATTAATTTAGTAAAAGACTAACCATGAATTACCCACATCCTTAAGGACTCATTTTTCAGCAGGCCAATTACTCCAGTCACGATGTACCAAATCTGAGTCTACTGATGGAGAAAGCAATGGAGACCAAGTGAATTTAGGAATTGGCTATGAGCTGATTTAATAATAATAATTTTTCCAAAAATTTTAACAGTACAGTGAAAAATGTTTATATCAACTGCCAACTTAATGTTTTGTTAACTACTTTTTTTTTTGTGGTGAGGAAGCTTAGCCCTGAGCTACCATCTGTTGCATTAGCAACCTCTTTGTGCTGAGGAAGATTGGCCCTGGGCTAACATCCTTGCCCATCTTCCTCTACTTTATATGGGATGCCACCACAGCATGGCTTGATAAGCGGTGTGTAGGTCTGCACCTGGGATTCAAACCTGCGAACCCCAGGCCGCCACAGCAGAGCACATGAACTTAACCGCTATGCCACCGGGTCGGCTCCCTGTCAGCTACTTTTAAATAGTGTAGAATGCTCAACTTGATCCTGTCGTCGTTTGAATTCATTGTGCCCTTTTTGCTTATTTAACAAAGAGGTAGAGGAGAAAAGTGAAAAGCCGTAATTAACACGTGACTTCTTTCTACTTTTTAAAATACTTTGTTTAAAAATTCATGAAATATCAACTGTATATTTATTTATAGAAAGGTTTGTAATGAGTGTTTGCAACCAACTTTAGGAACATCACCAAACAAGTATGTAAATATATTACTTATGGCTCTGTTTGATAATCCTGCTGCTGAATGTTTATAATATTATTACCTACTTTGGAAATATTTTTACAGTAGTATATAAGGAAAATGAAGACTATATGTAATGTTTGTGAATACTATTAGAGTAAGGAATTTTTCAAGTTCCTTTTCCATATAATTTTGGAATATAGTTTCCTACATAATTTCCACAATTGTGTGCAATTTTTAAATCACAAAGACTTGGATTCCAAAATATGAAAGCAGTTGTAATAACAGTGTTACTAACATGGGAATATTCTGTAGTGTACAGAGCACTTTCCCTTATAAAATTTTATATGATTCTCGCCCCATCTGTGAGATCAGACAGGTGTATTATCCTCATTTCATGGGTGAGGAAACTGTTTCTCTGAGAGATTAAGTGACAAGCCTGAGCTTGCACAGACCCAGCAACCTGCTGCTTCCCAACCCCGTGTTCTTTCTTCTACACATCTACACGGTTGTGTGGGGCTCTGAAGCTGGTAAATTAGAAATGGCAGTGCCTCTTCCTAGACTTTGTTCATGTTATAGAAGCTCTTTGAGAGCAGGGATCCTTGTCTGATTTTTTCTCTGATATATCACCTAGCATCTAGAAGGGCCCCTGGCACATAGTATGTATTTATTAAATATTTAATAAGTGACTGAATAAGTGAAGTAATGTGTATGTTTCTCAAGGAAGGAAACTGAGAGCTACGGTGCTTCTGAACCAGATAAGGTTGCCAGATAAAATACAGAGTGCCCAGCTGAATTTTAATTTCAGATAAACAACAAATAATATTGCATGGGACATGCTTATAGTAAAAAATTATTCATTGTTAATCTGAAATTCAGATTTAACTACGTATCCTCCATTTTTGTTTGCTAAATCTGGTAACTGTTAACTAGAGGAATTAAATGGTTAATTTTTAAATATCTAGACGAGAACAGCATCCTGGGTAATAATAGTGTCTTTAAAAAAAAAACTTCTCTTTTAAAATGTTTGACAAGCATCTTAATGTTAAATAGTCGGAACTATTCTGATTTGAGGATATATGTACATCTTTCCTGGTGTACTGAATTCAGAAACTGAGGATTTGTGGATCTGGAATCTATGTTTTGTGCAGGTGGTTTCATCTGGGAAGTCTTGATTCACATTTGTATCCGAGGCTTGGCCAATGAGGTAGACAGTGTGCGCTCCTCACACCTGATGGAGCAAAAGGGATCTGGGAACCAGCATTCTGGAAGAAGGATTCTGAACTGCCACCTATTTGTAAATTTTGGATGAAGCCAGGGATAAGTGCTAAATGCTCAGTGGTGTAAAGTGCAGGATCACAGAAGGAAATCCTTCTGTGAAGGAAAAATACGAACTGAGAAAGTGATGGCACAAATAGAAAAATCCAGGGAGAGCAGGTGCTAGCTGAATGCAGGCTTCAGATGCACAAAGAAGGCGGTACTTTCCTCAACTCTCAGATTTTACTGGAATAAAGTTTATATTCACAACCCTGGGACTCTTGAGAGATCGTCTTGATTGGCCATCTTGTCAGGTAAGTGACTTTTTCTTAAGGATCCCTAAAAAAGGGACTCCACAGTCCGTCTGAGATGCTTGACTGAAGGAGGGGTGTGTAGAGGACACATAGAGGCTAAAGAGAGAAATGCCACAGAGACGACTGAGTTATTTGGAAAATAAGACCTATGTGGAAAGATTTAAAACGCTAATACACCAAAAAAAAAAAAAAAAAAAACTACAGAGATATGTCATAGTGGTGCTTGAGACCAGGAGCACACCTATCACAGAATATTATAACCCGTTGTTGGTTTTTGTCACTGCTGGATCAGAACCAAAAACAGCTATCTGAACATGGAGCAGGAGGCAGACTGTAAATAAAGCAAATTTCCTGAGAGGGAGAGTTACAGACATTGCGATAGGTTATTGAGGATGGTTGTAGAATCACCTTTCCAGAAGATCTAATAGGAGAGAACTCTTGTCTGCCCAAAATTACCTATGGGTTGTGTCTGAAGTGGGAGGATGAATTACCTAAATTCTTGAGGTCCCTCTCAGTTATAAGAGTCTACTCTTCTTTCTACAATTGATTTTGATAAAGTATGTTAGAACTGTGCATTCATCTGTTTACATATTACCAGGAGTAAATACCAGTACTCTCTTTGGTTAGAGGATAATTCCATTTTTCTGAGATTTTTACCCGTTATTATTATGTTTAATTGTTTAGATTTTCTCACTTTGCACTAGTTTCTATACTATTATAGTAATATAATGGAGGGGAAATCATTTTTACCATAGAATACAAATATGTATAATAATTAATAAGCAAAGAATGTCTTTTAAGCCAGAACAAAATTTCAAAATAGTTAAAATGAGCTGTTGGGTTTAAATGTATATATCTTAATAACCTGCATCTGCTTGACAGCAAAGATTTGGGGAAGCAATCACTATTATATGTGACAATGGTGGTGATTTCTTATTGAAGAAATAGCAACTCTAATTTAATGAGCAATTACTGTGTGCCAGGGACTCTGCTAAACTCTTTATAGGAATAATGTCATTTAATCCTGCCAAAACTCAGTGAAGTTTTGGCAATAAAAGAGAATGAAGTACTGATACATCCTACAACATAGATGAACCCTGAAAGCATTATGTTTAAGTGAAAGAAGCCAGTCACAAAAGGCCACATATTCTATGATTCCATTTATGTGGAATGTCCAGAATAGGCAAACCTCTAGAGGCAGAAAGCAGACTAGTGATTGGGGGGTGGGGTGGGGATTGACTGCTAACGGTGGGTATGAAGTTTATTTTTGGGGTGATAAAAATGTTCTAAAATTGACTCTAGTAATGGTTGCACAACTCTGTGGATATACTAGAAACCATTGAAATGTACACTTTAAATGGGTGAACTGTATGGCATGTGAGTTATATCTCAGTAAGCTGTTTAAAAAAATTTTTTAAACAACCAATGAAATATAGGTAACCACTAAGTTATAGCCCTCCTATAAAACTTGAATTGTTCGATTTAAATTAATATGTTCTTTATCTCTAAAGAAGTTTCCAGATATCTACCTTATGTTTGGCTGTCAAAAGGCAATATGAAAATGATGAAAAAACTTTAGAAAGAAGGCAAAAAACAAGTTCTCATTTATTTGACCCACTAGTTGGCTTAAAACAAAAGTTTTATAGATAAGGAATGTGTGTTTATAGCTTTACTCCAGACCCTTCTCCCCTCTTGCCCTTACCTTTAGATAAGCAGTAAAGAATATTTGAACTAAACGGTATGTCCCTGCCTCAAATGGAGGAGGTGGGGTGGGCAACATCACAGTACTGCGGTTGGTGATGGTCATCTATCAGAGCTCGGAGCACAGCCCTGGAGGCACCTGCAACACGGCCTGGTAGCCAGTGGTCTGGTTTTTTAACTTCTCTAAGCCTCATCTAGAGAGTGAGGGAAAATAGTATCTTCCTCACAGAATTGTTGTAAGGGATCCAATATGGATAAAATACATAACACGGAGCCCAGTGCATAGCAAGGACTTGGCAGACAATATCTATTACTGTAGTCCTGACTATACCTCAAATGCTGATCGGCTCACTTAATGTTAGTAGAATCTGTAAGTGTGAAATACATATTATTAAATGAAAAAGCAGGTTACAAACCACTTTATACAGAATGCAAGCCCAGTTTGGTCTAAAATATATTTACATATAGCTATGTGCACAGAAATAAATGCTGGAAGGATGTACACCAAATATTCACAATGGTTATCTTTGGGTGGAGGAATTATGTGACTCTTTACTTTCTTCTTTGTGTCTTCTTCTTTCCCAAGTTTTCCATGTGTATCACTTTTATAATCAGAATGGTGATAAGGATGGTGGAGGAGGAGGATGACTTCAGGAGATTCTGGAGATTTTTGGAGCATTCTGAACTTCCGGCCTGCTCTCTTCTTCCACCCTCACTTCCTTCCCAGGGTTTTTATTCCTCCCTGGGCATGCAGTGGGGCCCAGTCGGTCCTGTTGTGGTCTCAGTGGTGCTCATATACATCAAACCAGCTTGCAGAAGCAGGGATGAGGTTCTTCTTTCTTAAACAGGAAAAAAATTACCTGTCTCTGATGAGTACTAACAAGTATTGTGTCCAAATATTCCCCATATTGTATTGCTCAGATTTGTAATCATTGGGGATGGTAAACCTTTAGAATGAAAATGTCTTATTTTACATTTACATGGAATGGAATTTTGCTTTGAGTAACTTCCACATGACTATATCAGGAGCCCCAATTTCAAATCCATGTACAAAGCATTATGGGCTTACAGCATGCCTCACAGACAAGGAAGTTTGCAAAGCAGAAGATTAGCTTTCCAATACCTCGTCTAGCGCAAATCCTCCTTAACAAAATAAAATTTGAATGAAATGAATGAATATGTGTGTAAGACATGCATTTTTTATCTTTCATAAAAATCATTCAGATTTAAAATAGACAGCAAAATATTCTTAGTTTTCTGAGCTAAAAATATTTGTGTTGTATTGGCGATATTTGTCTTTCTGTAACCAAGCTTGAGAACTCCATAAATCACATTTATGAGACATGTTATGTAAATTAAAGGATACAGCCAATAACACTGCATTCTCAAAAGAGAAGTCACAGGTAATTTCATTTGTTTAACTTGTTTGAAAGTGGTTTGAAACTACTTTTTAAAAAATTAATACAGCAGAGAGAGAACCAAGAAATTCTCTATACTGGACACAATATTCAAAAGATTTGGTTCCCCATACCTTGATTTAAAAGTGCATTCCTTATGATAAATCTCAAGCCTTCTAATTTTAAATTAGGTGAATCTCAAGGTTCATCTCAAGCCATGACTAGGGCCCTTCAGCGTCCCACTGCCCCTAGGGAATCGTGCACTGTTGCGTTAGTTGCCTCTAATCAGCAACTACCTTTAGAGGCAGCAGAGTTCAAGAGTCGTAAAAAATTAACATAAAGAAAATTTTAAAACTTGAAAACAAACAACATTTTTTAGATCTGTTGTGCAGTATATGGAGTCAATGGAGTTGATCCAGTGATGCCTGTCCGTAAATTCCACTACATTTTACATTTATTTTGGATTGAAACAGATATATTTAATCTTTTTTTTTTTTTTTAAGAATGAAAGACTAAGAGGCCGGCCCGGTGGCTTAGTGGTTAAGTGCGCATGCTCCGCTGCTGGCGGCCCGGGTTCAGATCCCGGCACGCACTGACGTACCGCTGCTGAGGCCGCGTCCCACGTACAGCAACTAGAAGGATGTGCATCTATGACATACAACTATCTACTGGGGCTTTGGGGGAAAAAATAAATACATAAAATTTAAAAAAAAAGAACATAGTATTAAAAAAAAAAAAGACAGACTAAGAGTGAATTATGTAGTTACCACAAAATGCCAGACAATTTCTAGCTAAAACTTCACAAGCAACTTCACAAGCAACTCCCTTGTAAACAAATGGTAACCAGAGGAGCCACATATTTGGCTCCAGTATGTGATTTCCTAACATATTACTAGGTGTTACATGAATGTCAGGCATTTTGTGTAATAATGTAAATGAGCCTGGGGTACTTTTTTTATAAGTGACAGTTTTAGTTTATTGTAGTAAAATCCATATAACATAAAATTCACCATTTGAAAATGTACAATTCAGTGGCATTTAGTATATTTACAGTTTTACACAGCTATTACCACTGTCTAGTTCCAGAACATTTTCATCACCCCAAAAAGAAAACCTGTACCTATTAAGCAATTACTTCTCATTTTCCTGTACCCCCAGCCCCTGGCAACCACTAATCTGCTTTCAGTCTCTGTGGATTTGCCTATTCTGGATATTTCATATAAATGGAATTATACAATATGTGGCATTTTGTTTCTTTCATTAGCCTAATGTTTCAAGATTCATCTATGCTGTAGCATCATCAGTACTTCATTCCTTTTTATGCTGAATAATAGTCCATTGTACGGATATACCACAATTTGTTTATCCGTTCATCAGTTGATGGACTTTGGCTATTGTGAATAGTGCTGCTATGAACATTTGGGTACAAGTTTTTGTTTGAACAAATGTTTTCAATTCATTTGGTATATACCTAGAAATGGACTTGCTCAGCCTTATGGTAATTCGGTGTGTGATTTATTGAAGTACTGCCAAACTGTTTTCCACAGAGGCCGTGCCATTGTACATTCCCACCAGAAGTGTACAGGGTTCCAATTTCTTCCCTTCCTCACCAACACTTGTTATTGTCAGTTTTTTAATTGTAGCTGGCCTAGTGGGTGTGAAGTGATATCTCATTGTGGTTTTGCATTTCTTTGGTAACTAATGATGTTGAGCATTTTTTCATGTGCTTATTGGCCATTTGTGTATCTTCTTTAGAGAAATGTCTATTCATGTCCTTAGCTCCTTTTTAAAAATGATTGTTTATCTTTTTGTTGTTGTGTTGTAAGAGTTCTTTATGTATTCTGGATACTGGACACTGATTTACAAGTATTTTCTCCCATTCTGTGTGTTATCTTTCACTCTTTTTTTTAAAAATTATTTTATTGAGGTCATATTGGCTTATTAACATTGTGTAAATTTCAGGTGTACATTATTGTATATTAGTTCCTGTATAGACTGCATCATGTTCACCACCAATAGTCTAGTTTTTATCTGTCACCATGCATATGTGCCCCTTTACCCCTTTCATCCTCTCCTCACCCTCTTCCCCTCTGGTAGCCACTAATCTGTTCTCCTTATCCATGTGTTTGTTTATCTTCCACATATGAGTGAAATCATATGGTGTTTGTCTTTCTCTGTCTGGCTTATTTCCCAGAGCATAATACCTCAGGGTCCATCCATGGTATCGCAAATGGCATGATTTTGTCTTTTTTTTTTTTTTTTTTTTTTTTTTAAGATTTTATTTATTCAGTTTTTTCCCCCCAAAGCCCCAGTAGACAGTTGTATGTCATAGGTTCACATCCTTCTAGTTGCTGTACGTGGGACCCGGCCTCGTGTTGGAGGGAGAAGTGGTGCCTCGGGGCGCTCCCGGGATCCGAACCCGGGTCGCCAGCATCAGAGCGCGCGCACTTAACCGCCAAGCCACAGAGCCGGCCCGATTTTGTCTTTTTTTTTTATGGCTGAATAGTATTTCATTGTATATATATATACCACATCTTTATCCATTCATCCACTGATGGGTGCTTTGGTTGCTTCCACGTCTTGACTATTTTGACTAATGCTGCGATGAACATAGGGGTGCATAAATCTCTTTGAATTGTAGATTTCATGTTCTTTGGATAAATACCCAGTAGTGGGATAGCTGGATCATATGGTATTTCTGTTTTTAATTTTTTGAGAAATCTCCATCCTGTTTTCCATAGTGGCTGCACCAGTTTGCATTCCCATCAGCAGTGTATGAGGGTTCCTTTTTCTCCACAACTTCTCCAACATTTGTTATTTCTTGTCTTGTTAGTTATAGCCATTCTGACTGGTGTGAGGTGATATCTCATTGTAGTTTTGATTTGCATTTCCCTAATAATTAGTGATGTTGAACATCTTTTCATGTGCCTGTTGGCCATCTATATATCTTCTTTGGAAAAACGTCTGTTTGTATCCTCTGCCCATTTTTTGATCGGATTGTTTATTTTTTTGTTGTTCAGTTGTGTGAGTTCTTTATATGTTTTGGAAATTCACCCCTTATTGGATATATGATTTGCAAATGTTTTGTCCGAGTTGGTGGGTTGTCTTTTCGTTTTGATCATGCTTTCTTTTGCCTTGCAGAAGCTTTTTAGTCTGATGCAGTCCCATTTGTTTACTTTTTCTTTTGTTTCCCTTGCCTGAGGAGACATGGTATTTGAAAAGATACTGCAAAGACTGATGTCAGAGAGGTACTGCCTATATTTTCTTCTAGGAGTTTTATGATTTCAGGTCTTACACTCAAGTCTTTAATACATTTTTGAGTTAATTTTTTGTGTATGGCGACAGATAATGGTCTACTTTCATTCTTTTGCCTGTTGCTGTCCAGTTTTCCCAACACCATTTATTGAAGAGACTTTCCTTTCTCCATTGTATGTTCTTGGCTCTTTTGTCAAAGATAGCTGTCCGTAGATGTGTGGTTTTATTTCTGGGCTTTCAGTTCTCTTCCATTGATCTGTGTGTCTGTTTTTCTGCCAGTACCATGCTATTTTGATTACTAGCTTTGTAGTATATTTTGAAGTTGGAGATTGTGATCTCCAACTTTGTTCTTTTTTCTCAGGTTTGCTTTGGCTATATGGTGTCTTTTGTTGTTCCATATAAATTTTAGGATTCTTTGTTATGTTTCCATGAAAAATGTCATTGGGATTCTGATTGGGATTGCATTGAATCTATAGATTGCTTTAGGTAGCATGGACATGTTAACAATGTTTATTCTTCCAATCCATGTGCGTGGAATATCTTTCCATGTCTTTATGTCTTCTTTGATTTCTTTCAATAATGTCTCATAGTTTTCAGTATATAGATCTTTAACCTCCTTGGTTAAATTTATTCCTAAATATTTTATTCTTTTTGTTGCAATGGTAAATGGGATTGTACTTTGACTTGTCTTTCTGCTTTTGTTATTAGTGTATAGAAATGCAACTGATTTTTGTATGTTGATTATGCACCCTGCAGCTTTGCTATAGTTGTTGATTATTTCTTATTAATTTTCCAGTGGATCCTTTAGGGTTTTCTATATATAGAATCATGTCATCTGCAAAGAGTAGAGTTTTCCTTCTTACTCTCCAATTTGCATACCTTTTATTTCTTTTTCTTGCCTAATTTCTCTGGCCAAAACCTCCAGTACCTGTGTTGAATAAGAGTGGCGAGAGTGGGCACCCTTGTCTTGTTCCTCTTCTCAGCGGGATGGCTTTCAGTTTTTCCCCATTGAGTATGATGTTGACTGTGGGTTTGTCATGTATGGCCTTTATTATGTTGAGGTACTTTCCTTCTATACCCATTTTATTGAGATTTTTTATCATAAATGGATGTTGGATCTTGTCAAATGCTTTTACTTATCAAATGCTTTCTCTATGTCTATTAAGATGATCATGTGATTTTTATTCCTCATTTTGTTAATGTGGTGTCACATTGATTGATTTGTGGATGTTGAACCATCCCTGCATCCCTGGAATAAATCCCACTTGATCATGGTGTATGATCCTTTTAATGTGTTGTTGTATTCAATTTGCTAATACTTTGTTGAGGATTTTTGCGTGTATGTTCATCAGCAATATTGGCCTGTTATTTTCCTTTTTTGTGTTGTCCTTGTGTAGGATTGATATCAGGGTGACGTTAGCCTCACAGAATGAGTTAGGAAGTGTCTTGTCCTCTTCAATATTTCGGGAGAGTGTGAGAAGTATAGGTATTAAATCTTTGAATGTTTGGTAGAATTCACCAGAGAAGCCCATCTGGTCCTGGACTTTTGTTTTTTTGGAGGTTTTTGATTACTGTTTCAATCTTTTTACTTATAATTAGTCTATTCAGATTCTCTATTTCTTCCTGATCCAGTTTTGGGAGATTGTATGATTCTAAGAATTTATCCATTTCTTCTAGGTTATCCTATTTGTTGAGATGTAGCTTCTCATAGTATTCTCTTATAATCCTTTGTATTTCTGTGGTCTCTGTTGTAATTTCTCCTCTTTCATTTCTGATTTTATTTATTTGAGTCTTCTCTCCTTTTTTCTTAGTGAGTCTGGCTAAGGGTTTATCAATTTTGTTTATCTTCTCACAGAAGCAGCTCTTAGTTTCATTGATCCTTTCTATTGTTTTTTTAGTCTGTATCATTTATTTCTGCTCTGGTTTTTATTATTTCCCTCCTTCTACTGACTTTGGGCTGTGTTTGTTCTTCTTTTTCTAGTTCTTTTAGGTGTAGTTTAAGTTACTTATCTGAGATTTTTCTTGTTTGTTGAGGTAGGCCTGTATTGCTGTAAATTTCCCTCTTAGTACCACTTTTGTTGCATCTCATGAGAGTTTGTATGCTGTGTTTTCATTTTAATTTGTCTCCAGGTATTTTTTGATTTCTACTTTGATTTCTTCATTGATCCAATGGTTGTTCAGTAGCATGTTGTTTAGTCTCCACATATTTGTGACTTTCCCAGCTTTTTTCTTGTAGTTGATTTCTAGTTTCATAGCACTGTGGTCAGAAAAGATGCTTGATATGATTTCAATCTCATTAAATTTATTGATGCTTGCCTTGTTTCCCAACATATGGTCTATTTTTGAGAATGTTCCATGTGTACTTGAGAAGAATGTGTATTCTGCTGTTTGGGGATGGAATGTTCTATATATATAGTCCTTCTTGACTTTCTGTCTGGATGACCTATCCATTGATGTATGTGGGGTGTTGAGGTCCCCTACTATTATTGTGTTGCTGTCAGTTTCTCCCTTTGGATCTGTTAATAGTTGCTTTATATACTGTGGTGCTCCTGTGTTAGGTGCATACATTAATAAGTGTTATGTCTCCTTGGTGGAATGTCCCTTTTATCATTATATAATGCCCATCTTTGTCTCATTATTTTTTTTATCTTGAAGTCTGCTTTGGCTAATATAAGTATGGCTATCCCTGCTTTCTTTTGCTTGCCATTTGCTTGGAATATCATCTTCCATCCCTTCGCTCTGAGCCTATGTTTTTCTTTAGAGCTGAGATCTGTTTCCTGGAGGCAGCATATCGTTGGGTCTTGTTTTTTAATCCATCCAGCCACACTGTGTCTTTTGTGTGTGTGTGTGTGGGGAAGATCAGCTCTGAGCTAACATTCATGCCAATCCTCCTCTTTTTGCTGAGGAAGACTGGCCCTGGGCTAACATCCA